CAAAAAACACACAAACTCAAGTCCACCAAATACCCAAATTCAAGTACAAAAACACCAAAAACTCAATTCAAAAAACAACACAAACTCAAGTTCAAAAACACAAAAAACTCAAGTTCAACCAATACCCAATTCTCAAGTTTAGCAATTTCCACAACCTCAAGTTAAAAAAAACCAGAAACTCAAGTTCAAAAACACCAAAAACTAAAGAACAAACACAACACAAAGTCAAGTTCAACAAATGCCACAAACTCAAGTTCAAAAACGATCAAAGTCAAGTTCAAAAACACCATAAACTCAAGTTAAAAAAACACAAACTCAAGTTCAACAAACACACAAACTCAAGTTCAAAAACACACAAACACAAGTTCAAAAACACCAAAAACTCAAGTTCAAAGACAATACAAACTCAAGTTCACCAAACACGCAACTCAAGTTCAACCAAAACTTGATTCTCAAGTTTAACCTTTTCCACAACCTCAAGTTCAAAAACAACAGAAACTCAAGTTCAATAATCACACAATCTCAAGTTCACCAAACACGACACAAAGTCAAGTTCAAACACGACACAAACTCCAGTTCAAACACAACACAAACTCAAGTTCAACAAACACACAAACTCAAGTTCAAAAACGAATCAAAGTCAAGTTCAAAAACACCATAAACTCAAGTTAAAAAAACACAAACTCAAGTTCAACAAACACACAAACTCAAGTTCAAAAACACACAAACACAAGTTCAAAAACACCAAAAACTCAAGTTCAAAGACAATACAAACTCAAGTTCACCAAACACGCAACTCAAGTTCAACCAAAACTTGATTCTCAAGTTTAACCTTTTCCACAACCTCAAGTTCAAAAACAACAGAAACTCAAGTTCAATAATCACACAATCTCAAGTTCACCAAACACGACACAAACTCAAGTTCAAACACGACACAAACTCCAGTTCAAACACAACACAAACTCAAGTTCAACAAACACACAAACTCAAGTTCAAAAACGACACAAACTCCAGTTCAAACACGGCACAAACTCAAGTTCAACAAACACGCAACTCAAGTTCAACCAACACCTGATTCTCAAGTTTAACCATTTCCACAACCTCAAGTTCAAAAACAACAGAAACTCAAGTTCAAAAAACACACAAACTCAAGTTCACCAAACACGCAACTCTAGTTTAAACACAACAGAAACTCAAGTTCAACAAACACTAAAACTCAAGTTCAAAAACACCACAAACTCAAGTTCAAACACGACAAAAAACTAAAGTTCAACAAACAGACTAACTCAAGTTCAACAAACACCTGATTCTCGAGTTTAACAATTTCCACAACCTCAAGTTCAAAAACAAACAGAAACTCAAGTTCAAAAAACACAAAGTCAAGTTAACCAAACACGCAACTCAAGTTCAAACACGACACAAACTCAGGTCTACCAAAAACCACAAACTCAATTTCAACCAACACCTGATTCTAAGGTTTAACAATTTCCACAACTTCAAGTTAAAAAAAACAGAAACTCAAGTTCAAAAAACACATCAACTCAAGTTCACCAAATACCCAAATTCAAGTTCACTAACACCAAAAACTCAATTCAAAAACACAACAAACTCAAGTTCAAAAACACAAAAAACTCAAGTTCAACCAATACCCAATTCTCAAGTTTAGCAATGTCCACAACCTCAAGTTAAAAAAAACCACAAACTCAAGTTAAAAAAAACCAAAAACTCAAGTACAAACACAACACAAAGCCAAGTTCAACAAACGCCAGGAACTCAAGTTCAAACACGAAACAAAGTCAAGTTCAAAAACACCACAAACTCAAATAAAAAAAAACACAAACTCAAGTTCACCAAACATGCAAACTCAAGTTAAAAAAAACCACAAACTCAAGTTCAAACACGACACAAACTCAGGTCTTCCAAAAACCACAAACTCAAGTTCAACCAACACCTGATTCTCAAGTTTAAAAATTTTCACAAACTCAAGTTCAACAAATGCCAAAAACTCAAGTTCAAACACGAAACAAACTCAGGTCTACCAAAAACCACAAACTCAAGTTCAACCACCACCCAAATCTCAAGTTTAACAATTGCCACAACCTCAAGTTCAAAAAACACACAAACTCAAGTTCAAACACGACACAAACTCAGGTCTACCAAAAACCACAAACTCAAGTTCAACCACCACCCAAATCTCAAGTTTAACAATTGCCACAACCTCAAGTTCAAAAAACACACAAACTCAAGTTCAAACACATGACAAACTCAAGTTTAAACACGGCACAAACTCAAGTTCAACAAACACGAAACTCAAGTTCAACCAACACCTGATTCTCAAGTTTAACCATTTCCACAACCTCAAGTTCAAAAACAAGAGAAACTCAAGTTCAAAAAACACACAAACTCAAGTTCACCAAACACGCAACTCTAGTTTAAACACAACAGAAACTCAAGTTCAACAAACACTAAAACTCAAGTTCAAAAACACCACAAACTCAAGTTCAAACACGACAAAAAACTAAAGTTCAACAAACAGACTAACTCAAGTTCAACAAACACCTGATTCTCGAGTTTAACAATTTCCACAGCCTCAAGTTCAAAAACAAACAGAAACTCAAGTTCAAAAAACACAAAGTCAAGTTAACCAAACACGCAACTCAAGTTCAAACACGACACAAACTCAGGTCTACCAAAAACCACAAACTCAATTTCAACCAACACCTGATTCTAAGGTTTAACAATTTCCACAACCTCAAGTTCAAAAACAACAGAAACTCAAGTTCAAAAAACACATCAACTCAAGTTCACCAAATACCCAAATTCAAGTTCACAAACACCAAAAACTCAATTCAAAAACACAACAAACTCAAGTTCAAAAACACAAAAAACTCAAGTTCAACCAATACCCAATTCTCAAGTTTAGCAATGTCCACAACCTCAAGTTAAAAAAAACCACAAACTCAAGTTCAAAAAAACCAAAAACTCAAGTACAAACACAACACAAAGTCAAGTTCAACAAACGCCAGGAACTCAAGTTCAAACACGAAACAAAGTCAAGTTCAAAAACACCACAAACTCAAATAAAAAAAAACACAAACTCAAGTTCACCAAACATGCAAACACAAGTTAAAAAAAACCACAAACTCAAGTTCAAACACGACACAAACTCAGGTCTTCCAAAAACCACAAACTCAAGTTCAACCAACACCTGATTCTCAAGTTTAAAAATTTTCACAAACTCAAGTTCAACAAATGCCAAAAACTCAAGTTCAAACACGAAACAAACTCAGGTCTACCAAAAACCACAAACTCAAGTTCAACCAACACCCAAATCTCAAGTTTAACAATTGCCACAACCTCAAGTTCAAAAAACACACAAACTCAAGTTCAAAAAACACACAAACTCAAGTTCAAACACAACACAAACTCAGGTCTACCAAAAACCACAAACTCAAGTTCAACCACCACCCAAATCTCAAGTTTAACAATTGCCACAACCTCAAGTTCAAAAAACACACAAACTCAAGTTCAAACACATGACAAACTCAAGTTTAAACACGACACAAACTCAAGTTCAAAAACAAAAAAAACTCAAGTTCAAAAAAATACTCAATTCTGAAGTTAAACAATTTCCACAACCTCAAGTTCAAACATATCATAAACTCAAGTTCAAAAACACCACAAACTCAAGCTCAAACACAACACAAACTCAAGTTTAAACACAACACAAACTCAAGTTCAACCAACACACAAACTCAAGTTCAAAAACACCACAAACTCAAGTTCAAACACGAAACGAACTCAAGTTCTACAAACACAATAACTCAAGTTTAACCAATTCCCAAATCTCAAGTTTAAAAATTGCAACAACCTCAAGTTCAAAAAACACACAAACTCAAGTTCAACAAACAAGAACTCAAGTTCAAAAACACCACAAACTCAAGTTCAAACACGACACGAACTCAAGTTCAACAAACACAATAACTCAAGTTTAACCAATTCCCAAATCTCAAGTTTAAAAATTGCAACAACCTCAAGTTCAACAAACACACAAACTCAAGTTCAACCAACACCCAAATCTCAAGTTTAACAATTTCCACAACCTCCAGTTCAAATACAACACAGACTCAAGTTCAAAAACACTACAACTCAAGTTGTACACAAACTCAAGTTCAAATAAAACCACAAACTCAAATTCAACCAACACCTGATTCTCAAGTTTAACAATTGCCACAACCTCAAGTTCATAAAACACACAAACGCAAGTTCAAACACACCACAAACTCAATTTCAAAAAACACACAAACTCAAGTTCAACAAACAACACAAACTCAAGTTCAAACACGACACAAACTCAAGTTGAACCAACACTCAAATCTAAAGTTTAACAATTTCCACAACCTCAAGTTCAACCAACACCCAAATCTCAAGTTTAACAATTGCCACAACCTCAAGTTCAAAAAACACACAAACGCAAGTTCAACAAACAACACAAACTCAAGTTCAAACACGACACAAACTCAAGTTGAACCAACACTCAAATCTAAAGTTTAACAATTTCCACAACCTCAATTTCAAAAACAACAGAAACTCAAGTTCAAACACGAGACAAACTCAAGTTCAACAAACACACATACTCAAGTTCAAACACGACACAAACTCAAGTTCAACAAACACACAAACTCAAGTTTAACAATTCCCACAACCTCAAGTTCAAAAAATTACACACCCTCAAGTTCAAAAAGACCACAAACTCAAGTTCAAACACGCCACAAACTCAAGTTTAAATATGAAAAAAAACTCAAGTTCAAAAAAATACTCAATTCTGAAGTTAAACAATTTCCACAACCTCAAGTTCAAACATATCATAAACTCAAGTTCAAAAACACCACAAACTCAAGCTCAAACACAACACAAACTCAAGTTCAAACACAACACAAACTCAAGTTCAACCAACACACAAAGTCAAGTTCAAAAACACCACAAACTCAAGTTCAAACATGACACAAACTCAGGTTCAACAAACACACAAACTCAAGTTTAACCAATACCCAATTCTCACGTTTAACAATTTCCACAACCTCAAGTTCAAACACGACACAAACTCAAGTTCAAACACGACACAAACTCAAGTTCAAACACGACACAAACTCAAGTTCAAACAACACCCAAATATCAAGTTTAACATCTGCCAAAACCTCAAGTTCAAAAACACCACAAACTCAAGTTCAAAACGACAAAAACTTAAGTTCAACAAACGCCAAAAACTCAAGTTCAAAAACACCACAAACTCAAGTTCTAAATGACAAAAACTCAAGTTCAACAAACACACGAACTCAAGTTCAACCAATGCCCACTTCGCAAGTTTAACAATTTCCACAACCTCAAGTTAGAAAAACACACAGACTCAAGTTAAAAAATAACCAGAAAATTTAGTTAAAAACACTTCACAAACTCAAGTTCAAAAACACCACAAACTCAAGTTCAACCAACACCTAAGTCACAAGTTTAACAATTGCCACAAACTTCAGTTCAAAAAACACAAAAGATCAAGATCAAAAACACCACAAACTCAAGTTCAAACACGATTCACAAACTCAAGTTCAACCAAATCCCAAATCTCAAGTTTAACAATTTCCACAACCTCAAGTTCAAAACCAACAGAAACTCAAGTTCAAACACGCCACAAACTGAAGTACAACAAACACCACAAACTCAAGTTCAACCAACACCTAAGTCACAAGTTTAACAATTGCCACAAACTTCAGTTCAAAAAACACAAAAGCTCAAGATCAAAAACACCACAAACTCAAGTTCAAACACGATTCACAAACTCAAGTTCAACCAAATCCCAAATCTCAAGTTTAACAATTTCCACAACCTCAAGTTCAAAACCAACAGAAATTCAAGTTCAAAAACACCACAAACTCAAGTTCAAAAATGCCGAAACTTAATTTCAACCAACACCCAAATCTCAAGTTTAACAAATTGCCACAACCTCATGTTCAAAAACAACAGAAACTCAAATTCAAAAACACCAAAAACTCAAGTTAAAAAAAAACCCACACAAATTCAAGATCACAAAACAGCAAAATCTCAAGTTCAAACACGACACAAACTCAGGTTCAACAAACACACAAACTCAAGTTTAACCAATACCCAATTCTCACGTTTAACAATTTCCACAACCTCAAGTTCAAACACGACACAAACTCAAGTTCAAACACGACACAAACTCAAGTTCAAACAACACCCAAATATCAAGTTTAACATCTGCCAAAACCTCAAGTTCAAAAACACCACAAACTCAAGTTCAAAACGACAAAAACTCAAATTCAACAAACACACGAACTCAAGTTCAACCAATGCCCACTTCGCAAGTTTAACAATTTCCACAACCTCAAGTTAGAAAAACACACAGACTAAAGTTAAAAAATAACCAGAAAATCTAGTTCAAACACTTCACAAACTCAAGTTCAAACACGATTCACAAACTCAAGTTCAACCAAATCCCAAATCTCAAGTTTAACAATTTCCACAATCTCAAGTTCAAAACCAACAGAAATTCAAGTTCAAAAACACCACAAACTCAAGTTCAAAAATGCCGAAACTTAATTTCAACCAACACCCAAATCTCAAGTTCAACAAATTGCCACAACCTCATGTTCAAAAACAACAGAAACTCAAATTCAAAAACACCAAAAACTCAAGTTAAAAAAAAACCACACAAATTCAAGATCACAAAACAGCAAAATCTCAAGTTCAAACACGACACAAACTCAGGTTCAACAAACACACAAACTCAAGTTTAACAATTGCCACCAAATAAAGTTCACTAAAAACCAAAGACTCAAGTTCAAAACTCAAGTTCAAAAATTGCAACAAACTCAAGTTCAAACACAACACTCAAGTTCAAACATGACACAAACTCAAGTTCAAACACGACACAAACTCAAGTTCAAACACGACACAAACTCAAGTTCAAACACGACACAAACTCAAGTTCAAACAACACCCAAATATCAAGTTTAACATTTGCCAAAACCTCAAGTTCAAAAACACCACAAACTCAAGTTCTAAACGACAAAAACTCAAGTTCAACAAACACACGATCTCAAGTTCAACAATTGCCACCAACTAATGTTCAGAGAAAAATACAGACTCAATGTTAACAATTGCCACAAACTCAAGTTCAACAAACACCACAAGCTTAAGTTCAAAAAATGCCAAAATTTCAAATTCAACAAATAACCTATATTAACATTAAAGAATTGCCAAAAACTCAAGTTCAAAAAACTCAGGTTCAAAAAACACACAAATTCAAGTTCAAAAACACCACAAACTCAAGCTCAAACACAACACAAAGTCAAGTTCAAACACAACACAAACTCAAGTTCAACCAACACACAAACTCAAGTTCAAAAACACCACAAACTCAAGTTCAAACGACACGAACTCAAGTTCAACAAATACAATAACTCAATTTTAACCAATTCCCAAATCTCAAGTTTAAAAATTGCAACAACCTCAAGTTCAACAAAACACACAAACTCAAGTTCAAAAACACCACAAACTCAAGTTCAAAAACACCACAAACTCAAGTTCAAACATGACACGAACTCAAGTTCAAACACGAAACAAGCTCAAGTTCAACAAACACACAAACTCAAGTTCAACCAACACCCAAATCTCAAGTTTAACAATTTCCACAACCTCCAGTTCAAATACAACACAGACTCAAGTTCAAAAACACTAACACTCAAGTTGTACACAAACTCAAGTTCAACAAAAACCACAAACTCAAATTGAACCAACACCTGATTCTCAAGTTTAAAAATTTTCACAACCTCAAGTTAAAAAAACACACAAACTCAAGTTCAAATAACAACAAAAACTCAAGATCAAACACGACACAAACTCAAGTTCAACCAACACCCAAATCTCAAGTTTAACAATTGCCACAACCTCAAGTTCAAAAAACACACAAACGCAAGTTCAAACACACCACAAACTCAATTTCAAAAAACACACAAACTCAAGTTCAACAAACAACACAGACTTAAGTTCAAACACGACACAAACTCAAGTTGAACCAACACTCAAATCTAAAGTTTAACAATTTCCACAACCTCAAGTTCAAAAACAACAGAAACTCAAGTTCAAACACGAGACAAACTCAAGTTCAACAAACACACATACTCAAGTTCAAACACGACACAAACTCAAGTTCAACAAACACACAAACTCAAGTTTAACAATTCCCACAACCTCAAGTTCAAAAAATTACACACCCTCAAGTTCAAAAACACCACAAACTCAAGTTCAAACACGCCACAAACTCAAGTTTAAATATGGAAAAAAACTCAAGTTCAAAAATAACACAAATTCAAGTTCAAACACAACACAAACTCAAGTTCAACAAACATACAAACTCAAGTTCAAAAAACACACAAACTCAAGTTCAAAAACACCACAAACTCAAGTTCAAAAAACACACAAACTCAAGTACAACCAACACACAAATCTCAAGTTTTACAATTGCCACAACCTCAAGTTCAACAAACACACAAACTCAAGTTCAAATACACCACAAACTCAAGTTCAAACACGACACAAACTCAAGTTCAAAAACACCACAAACTCAAGTTCAAACGACACAAACTCAAGTTCAACAAAAACAATAACTCAATTTTAACCAATTCCCAAATCTCAAGTTTAAAAATTGCAACAACCTCAAGTTCAACAAAACACACAAACTCAAGTTCAAACACACCACAAACTCAAGTTCAAAAACACCACAAACTCAAGTTCAAACAGGACACGAACTCAAGTTCAAACACGAAACAAGCTCAAGTTCAACAAACACACAAACTCAAGTTCAACCAAAACCCAAATCTCAAGTTTATCAATTTCCACAACCTCCAGTTCAAATACAACACAGACTCAAGTTCAAAAACACTAACACTCAAGTTGTACACAAACTCAAGTTCAACAAAAACCACAAACTCAAATTGAACCAACACCTGATTCTCAAGTTTAAAAATTTTCACAACCTCAAGTTCAAAAAACACACAAACTCAAGTTCAACAAACAACAAGAACTCAAGATCAAACACGACACAAACTCAAGTTCAACCAACACCCAAATCTCAAGTTTAACAATTGCCACAACCTCAAGTTCAAAAAACACACAAACGCAAGTTCAAACACACCACAAACTCAATTTCAAAAAACACACAAACTCAAGTTCAACAAACAACACAAACTCAAGTTCAAACACGACACAAACTCAAGTTGAACCAACACTCAAATCTAAAGTTTAACAATTTCCACAACCTCAAGTTCAAAAACAACAGAAACTCAAGTTCAAACACGAGACAAACTCAAGTTCAACAAACACACATACTCAAGTTCAAACACGACACAAACTCAAGTTCAAAAAACACACAAACTCAAGTTTAACAATTCCCACAACCTCAAGTTCAAAAAATTACACACCCTCAAGTTCAAAAACACCACAAACTCAAGTTCAAACACGCCACAAACTCAAGTTTAAATATGGAAAAAAACTCAAGTTCAAAAATACCACAAATTCAAGTTCAAACACAACACAAACTCAAGTTCAACAAACATACAAACTCAAGTTCAAAAAACACACAAACTCAAGTTCAAAAACACCACAAACTCAAGTTCAAAAAACACACAAACTCAAGTACAACCAACACACAAATCTCAAGTTTTACAATTGCCACAACCTCAAGTTCAACAAACACACAAACTCAAGTTCAAATACACCACAAACTCAAGTTCAAACACGACACAAACTCAAGTTCAAAAACACCACAAACTCAAGTTCAAACGACACGAACTCAAGTTCAACAAACACAATAACTCAATTTTAACCAATTCCCAAATCTCAAGTTTAAAAATTGCAACAACCTCAAGTTCAACAAAACACACAAACTCAAGTTCAAACACACCACAAACTCAAGTTCAAAAACACCACAAACTCAAGTTCAAACATGACACGAACTCAAGTTCAAACACGAAACAAGCTCAAGTTCAACAAACACACAAACTCAAGTTCAACCAACACCCAAATCTCAAGTTTAACAATTTCCACAACCTCCAGTTCAAATACAACACAGACTCAAGTTCAAAAACACTAACACTCAAGTTGTACACAAACTCAAGTTCAACAAAAACCACAAACTCAAATTGAACCAACACCTGATTCTCAAGTTTAAAAATTTTCACAACCTCAAGTTCAAAAAACACACAAACTCAAGTTCAACAAACAACAAGAACTCAAGATCAAACACGACACAAACTCAAGTTCAACCAACACCCAAATCTCAAGTTTAACAATTGCCACAACCTCAAGTTCAAAAAACACACAAACGCAAGTTCAAACACACCACAAACTCAATTTCAAAAAACACACAAACTCAAGTTCAACAAACAACACAAACTCAATATCAAACACGACACAAACTCAAGTTGAACCAACACTCAAATCTAAAGTTTAACAATTTCCACAACCTCAAGTTCAAAAACAACAGAAACTCAAGTTCAAACACGACACAAACTCAAGTTCAACAAACACACAAACTCAAGTTTAACAATTCCCACAACCTCAAGTTCAAAAAATTACACACCCTCAAGTTCAAAAACACCACAAACTCAAGTTCAAACACGCCACAAACTCAAGTTTAAATATGGAAAAAAACTCAAGTTCAAAAATACCACAAATTCAAGTTCAAACACAACACAAACTCAAGTTCAAAAATACCACAAATTCAAGTTCAAAAAACACACAAACTCAAGTTCAAAAACACCACAAACTCAAGTTCAAAAAACACACAAACTCAAGTTTAAATATGGAAAAAAACTCAAGTTCAAAAATACCACAAATTCAAGTTCAAACACAACACAAACTCAAGTTCAACAAACATACAAACTCAAGTTCAAAAAACACACAAACTCAAGTTCAAAAACACCACAAACTCAAGTTCAAAAAACACACAAACTCAAGTACAACCAACACACAAATCTCAAGTTTTACAATTGCCACAACCTCAAGTTCAACAAACACACAAACTCAAGTTCAAATACACCACAAACTCAAGTTCAAACACGACACAAACTCAAGTTCAACCAACACCTGATTCTCAAGTTTATAAATTTTCACAACCTCAATTTCAAAAAACACACAAACTCAAGTTCAACAAACAACACGAACTCAAGTTCAAACACGACACAAACTCAAGTTCAAACACGACACAAACTCAAGTTCAAAAAACACACAAACTGAAGTACAACCAACACACAAATCTCAAGTTTTACAATTGCCACAACCTCAAGTTCAACAAACACACGAACTCAAGTTCAAATACACCACAAACTCAAGTTCAAACACGACACAAACTCAAGTTCAACCAACACCTGATTCTCAAGTTTATAAATTTTCACAACCTCAATTTCAAAAAACACACAAACTCAAGTTCAACAAACAACACGAACTCAAGTTCAAACACGACACAAACTCAAGTTCAAACACGACACAAACTCAAGTTCAAAAAACACACAAACTCAAGTACAACCAACACACAAATCTCAAGTTTTACAATTGCCACAACCTCAAGTTCAACAAACACACGAACTCAAGTTCAAATACACCACAAACTCAAGTTCAAACACGACACAAACTCAAGTTCAACAAACATACAAACTCAAGTTCAAAAAACACACAAACTCAAGTTCAAAAACACCACAAACTCAAGTTCAAAAAACACACAAACTCAAGTTTAAATATGGAAACAAACTCAAGTTCAAAAAACACACAAACTCAAGTACAACCAACACACAAATCTCAAGTTTTACAATTGCCACAACCTCAAGTTCAACAAACACACGAACTCAAGTTCAAATACACCACAAACTCAAGTTCAAACACGACACAAACTCAAGTTCAACCAACACCTGATTCTCAAGTTTATAAATTTTCACAACCTCAATTTCAAAAAACACACAAACTCAAGTTCAACAAACAACACGAACTCAAGTTCAAACACGACACAAACTCAAGTTCAAACACGACACAAACTCAAGTTGAACCAACACTCAAATCTCAAGTTTAACAAATGCCACAACCTAAAGTTCATCAAACAAATCAACTCAAGTTCAAACACATAACAAACTCAAGTTCAAACATGACACAAACTCAAGTTAAAAAACTCAAGTACAGCCAATACCCAATTCTCAAGTTTGACAATTTCCACAACCTCAAGTTCAAAAGCAACACAGACTCAAGTTCAAAAACACCACAAACTCAAGTTCACCACAAATACACCAATTAAAGTTCACTTAAAACAACAGACGCAAGTTCAACAATTGCCACAAACTCAAGTACAACAAACTAATGTTCAAACACGACACAAACTAATGTTCAACAAACGCCATAAACTCAAGTTCAAACACAACACAAACTCAAGTTCAAAAAACACACAAACTCAAGTTCAAACACGACACAAACTCAAGTTCAAAAAATCCACAAACTCAAGTTCAAACACGACACAAACTCAAGTTCAACAAACACAAAACAAACTCAAGTTCAAACACGACACAAACTCAAGTTCAACAAACGCCACTAACTCAAGTTCAACAAACACACAAACTCAAGTTCAACAAACACACAAACTCAAGTTCAAACATGACACAAACTAAAGTTCAACAAACACACAAACTCAAGTTTAACAAACACAAACCCAGGTTCAACAAGCACCTGATTATCAAATTTAATAATTTCCAAAAAATCAAGTTAAAAAACAGCACAAACTAAAGTTAAAAAAAAAAATCTCAAGTTCACCAAACATTCAAATTCAAGTTCAACAAACGCCTGAAAATAATGTTCAAACACAACACAAAATCAAGTTCAAAAACACACAAACTCAAGTTCAAACACAACACAAACTCAAGTTCAAAAAACACACAAACTCAAATTCAAAAACACCACGAACTCAAGTTCAAACACGACAAACTCAAGTTCAAAAACACCACAAACTCAAGTTCAACGGACACCTGATTCTAGAGTTTGAATAATTCCACACCCTCAAGTTCAAAAACACCACCAAGATCAAACACAACACAAACTCCAGCTCAACAAAAACCACAAACTCAAGTTCAACAATGTCAAAGTTTTAAGTTCAACCAGCACCCAAATCTCAAGTTTAACAATTTCAAAAACCTCAAGTTGAAACATGCACAAACTCAAGTTCAAATACGACACAAACTCAAGTTCAACAAATACCACAAACTCAAGTTCAAACAACACCCGATCCTCAAGTTCAAACATTTCCAAGAAGTCAAGTTCAAAAACACCAATACCTCAAGTTCAAAAGACACCACAAACTCAAGTTCAAACACGACAAAGACTCAAGTTCAACAAACACACATAGACTAGTTCAAAAACAACAAAACCTCAAGTTCAAACACGACACAAACTCGAGTTCAACAAAAACCACAAACTCAAGTTCAACAAATGTCAAAGTTTAAAGTTCAACAGCACCCAAAATCTCAAGTTTAACAATTTCAAAAACCTCAAGTTGAAACACGACACAAACTCAAGTTCAACATACGCCACAAACTCAAGTTCAAAAACAACACAAACTCAAGTTCAACAAACATACAACCTCAAGTTCAACCAATACCCAATTCTGAGGTTTAACAATTTCCATAACCTCAAGTTCAAAAACACCACAAACTCAAGTTCAAACACGACACAAACTCAAGTTCACCAAATGTCAAACTTTTAAGTTCAACCAACACCCAGATCTCAATTTTAGAAATTGACACAACCTCAAGTTCAAAAACAACACAAACTCAAGTTCAAAAACACCACAACCTCAAGCTGAGAAAAAAAACACAAACTGAAGTTCAAACACGCCACAAACTCAAGTTCAACAAACACACAAACTCAAGTTCAACCAATACATAATTTTCAAGTTAAACAATTTACACAACCTTAGGTTCAAAAACGTCACAAACTCAAGTTAAAAAAAACCACAAACTTAAGTTCTAACATGCCAAAAACTGAAGTTCAACAAACACACAAACTCAAGTTCAACGAACACCTGATCCTAAAGTTCAACAATTTCCAAAAACTGAAGTTCAAAAACACCACAAACTCAAGTTAAAAAAACCCACGACCTCAAGTTCAAACATGACACAAACTCAGGTTCAACAAATGTCAAACTTTAAAGATCAACCAACACCCAAATCTCAACTTTAACACTTTCCACAATCTCAAGTTCAAAAACAAAAAACTCAAGTTCAAAAACACCACATACTCAAGATCAACAAACACACAAACTCAAGTTCAAAAACATCACAAACTCAAGTTAAACCAACACCCAATCCTCAAGTTGAACAATTTCCACTAATTGAAATTCAAAAAAGCAAAACCTCAAGTTAAAAAAAAACACAAACTGAATTTCAAACACGGCAAAAACTGAAGTTCAACACAAACACAAAAACTCAAGTTCAAAAAAACCACAAACTAAAGTTCTAACATGACACAAACTCAAGTTCAACACACACACAAACTCAAGTTCAACAATCTCCACAAACTCAAGTTCAACCAACACCCAATCCTCAAGTTTAACAATCTCCACAAACTGAAGTTCAAAAAACCGCAACCTCAAGTTTAAAAAATCACAAACTCAAGTTCAAAAACGCAAAAAACTGAAGTTGAATAAACATAAAAACTCGAGTTCAAAAACACCACAACCTCAAGTTCAAACACGCCACAACCTCAAGTTCAAAAACACCACAAACTCAAGTTCAAACATGCCAAAAACTGAAGTTTAACCAACACCTGATCCAAAAGTTCAACAATTTCCACAAACTGAAGTTCAAAAACACAACAAAATCAAGTTAAAAAAAACCACAACCTCAAGTTCAAAACATGACACAAACTCAAGTTCAACAAATGTCTAACTTTCAACCAACACCCAAATCTCAAGTTTAAATATTTCCACATTCTCAAGTTCAAAAACCAGAAACTCAAGTTCAAAAACACCACAAACTCAAGTTCAACCAACACCTGATTCTCTAGTTTAACAATTTCCACAACCTCAAGTTCAAAAACAACACCAACCCAAGTTCAAAAACACCACAAACTCAAGATCAACCAACACCCAATCCTAAAGTTAAACAACTTCCACAAACTGAAGTTCAAAAACACCACAACCTCAAGTTCAAAAACACCACAAACTCAAGTTAAAAAAACCCACGACCTCAAGTTCAAACATGACACAAACTCAAGTTCAACAAATGTCAAACTTTGAAGATCAACCAACACCCAAATCTCAACTTTAACAATTTCCACAATCTCAAGTTCAAAAACAAAAAACTCAAGTTCAAAAACACCACATACTCAAGATCAACAAACACACAAACTCAAGTTCAAAAACATCACATACTCAAGTTAAACCAACACCCAATCCTCAAGTTGAACAATTTCCACTAACTGAAATTCAAAAAACCAAAACCTCAAGTTAAAAAAACACCACAAACTGAATTTCAAACACGGCAAAAACTGAAGTTCAACACAAACACAAAAACTCAAGTTCAAAAAAACCACAAACTAAAGTTCTAACACGACACAAACTCAAGTTCAACACACACACAAACTCAAGTTCAACCAACACCCAATCCTCAAGTTTAACAATCTCCACAAACTGAAGTTCAAAAAACCGCAACCTCAAGTTAAAAAAATCACAAACTCAAGTTCAAAAACGCAAAAAACTGAAGTTGAATAAACATAAAAACTCGAGTTCAAAAACACCACAACCTCAAGTTCAAACACGCCACAACCTCAAGTTCAAAAACACCACAAACTCAAGTTCAAACATGCCAAAAACTGAAGTTTAACCAACACCTGATCCTAAAGTTCAACAATTTCCACAAACTGAAGTTCACAAACACAACAAAATCAAGCTAAAAAAACCCACAACCTCAAGTTCAAAACATGACACAAACTCAAGTTCAACAAATGTCTAACTTTCAACCAACACCCAAATCTCAAGTTTAATTATTTCCACAATCTCAAGTTCAAAAACCAGAAACTCAAGTTCAAAAACACCACAAACTCAAGTTTAACCAATACCTGATTCTCTAGTTTAACAATTTCCACAACCTCAAGTTCAAAAACAACACCAACCCAAGTTCAAAAACACCAAAAACTCTAGATCAACCAACACCCAATCCTAAAGTTAAACAATTTCCACAAACTGAAGTTCAAAAACACCACAAACTAAAGTTAAAAAACACCACAAACTCAAGTTAAAAAAACCTACAACCTCAAGTTCAAACACGACACAAACTCAAGTAAAAAAAAACAACAGAAACTCAAGTTCAAAAAATGTCAAACTTTTAGGTTCAACCAACACCGAAATCTCAATTTTAGAAATTGCCACAACCTCAAGTTCAAAAACAACAAAACCTCAAGTTAAAAAACACCACAACCTCAAGCTAAAATAAAACACTGACTGAGGTTCAAACACGACACAAACTCAAGTTCAACAAACACACAAACTCAAGTTCAACCAATACCTAATTTTCAAGTTTAACAATTTCCACAACCTAAGGTTCAAAAACACCACAAACTCAAGTTCAAACATGCCAAACACTGAAGTTCAACAAACAAAAACTCGAGTTTAAAAACATCATAACCTCAAGTTCAAACACGCCACAAACTCAAGTTAAAAAAATCCAAAGCCTCAAGCTCAAAAAACACCACAAACTGAAGTTCAAACACGCCACAAACTCAAGTTCAACCAATACCCAATTCTGAGGTTGAACAATTTCCATAACCTCAAGTTAAAAAACACTACAAATTCAAGTTAAAAAAAACCACAAACTTAAGTTCAAACAAGACACAGACTCAAGTTCAACAAATGTCAAACTTTAAGTTCAACCAACACCCAAATCTCAACTTTAACAATTTCCACAATCTCAAGTTCAAAAACAAAAAACTCAAGTTCAAAAACACCACAAACTCAAGATCAACAAAAACACAAACTCAAGTTCAAAAAAACCACAAACTCAAGTTCAACCACGACACAAACTCAAGTTCAAAAAACACACAAACTCAAGTTCATCCAACACCTAAATCTCAAGTTTAACAATTTCCACAACCTCAAGTTTAAAAACACCACAACCTCAAGTTCAAATACGACACAAACTGAAGTAAAACAAACAGCTCAAACTCAAGTTCAAATACACCACAAAATCAAGTTCAAACATGACACAAACTCAAGTTCAAGAAACGCCACAAACTCAAGTTCAAACACGAGACCAACTCAAGTTCAAAAACACCACAAACTCAAGTTCAAACACACCACAAACTTATGTTCAACAAACACACAAACTCAAGTTTAACCAATACCCAATTTTCAAGTTTAACAAATTCCAAACCCTCAAGTTAAAAAAAACCACAAACTCAAGTTCAAACACGACGTAAACTAAAATTCAACAAACGCCACAAACTCGTTAAAACACGAAACAAACTCAAGCAAAAAAATACAAAAACTCAAGTTCAAAAACAACACAAACTCAAGTTCAAGAAACACACAAACTCAAGTTCATACACCCACAAACTAAAGTTCTTACACGACAAAAACTCAAGTTCAAAAAACACACTAACTCAAGTTCATCCAACACCTGAATCTCAAGTTTAACAATTTCCTCAAACTCAAGTTCAAAAACACCACAAACTCAAGGTCAAACACGACACAAACTCAAGTTCAAAACACCACAAACTCAAGTTCAAACACAACACAAACTCAAGTTCAAAAACACCACAAACTAAAGTTCAAACATGACAAAAACTCAAGTTCAAAAACAACAGAAACTCAAGTTTAAACACGCCACAAACTCAAGTTAAAAAAATCCACAGCCTCAAGCTCAAAAAACTCCACAAGTTCAAGAAACACACAAACTCAAGTTCATACACCCACAAACTAAAGTTCTTACACGACAAAAACTCAAGTTCAAAAAACACACTAACTCAAGTTCATCCAACACCTGAATCTCAAGTTTAACAATTTCCTAAAACTCAAGTTCAACAAACGCCACAAACTCGAGTTCAAACACAACACACACTCAAGTTCTACAAACTCAAGTTCAAAAACTACAAAACTCAAGTTCAAACATGACACAAACTCATGTTCAAAAACACAAAACAAACTGTTCAAATGAGACACAAACTCAAGTTCAACAAATGCCACAAACTCAAGTTCAACAAATACCACCAATTACAGTTCACTAAAAACCACAGATGCAAGTTCAACAATTGCCACAAACTCAAGTTCAACAAACTAATGTTCAAACACGACACAAACTTCAGTTCAACAAACGCCATAAACTCAAGTTCAAACACAACACAAACTCAAGTTCAAAAAACACACAAACTCAAATTCAAACACGACACAAACTCAAGTTCAAAAAGTCCACAAACTCAAGTTCAAACACGACAAAAACTCAAGTTCAACAAACACAAAGCAAACTCAAGTTCAAACACAACACAAACGCAAGTTCAACAAACGCCATTAACTCAAGTTCAAACACAATACAAACTCAAGTTCAACAAACACACAAACTTAAGTTCAAAAACACCACAAACTGAAGTTCAAACACGACACAAACTAAAGTTCAACAAACACACAAACTCAAGTTAAACAAACACACAAACTCAAGTTCAAAAACACCTGATTCTCAAGTTTAACAATTTCAAAAAACAAGTTCAAAAACAACAGAAACTCAAGTTCAAAAAACACAAAAACTCAAGTTCACCAAACATTCAAATTCAAGTTCAAAAACACCATAAACTCAAGTTCAAACACGACACAAACTCAAGTTCAAAAAACACCACAAACTCAAGTTCAAAAACGACACAAACTAAAGTTCAACAAACTCACATACTCAAGTTCAACAAAAAGAATAAACTAAAGTTCAAACAAGACACAAACTCAAGTTCAAAAAACACAAACTCAAGTTCAAACACGACACAAACTCAAGTTCAAAAACACCACAAACTCAAGTTCAAAAACACCACAAACTCAAGTTCAAACACGACACAAACTAAAGTTCAACAAACACACAAACTCAAGTTCAAACATGACACAAACTAAAGTTCAACAAACACACAAACTCAAGTTTAACACACAAAAACCAAAGTTCAACAAGCACCTGATTCTCAAGTTTAACAATTTCCAAAAAATCAAGTTAAAAAAATGCCAACTAAAGTTAAAAAAAAATCTCAATGTCACCAAACATTTAAATTAAAGTTCAACAAACGCTGGAAAAAAAAATGTTCAAACACAACACAAACTCAAGTTCAAAAAACACACAAACTCAAGTTCAAACACGACAAAAACTGAACTTCAACAAACACACAAACTCAAGTTAAAAAACACCACAAACTCAAGTTCAAACAAGACACAAACTCAAGTTCAACTACCACACAAACCCAAGTTCAAACACGACACAAACTCAAGTTCAAAAACACCACAAACTCAAGTTCAAAAACGACACAAACTAAAGTTCAACAAACTCACATACTCAAGTTCAAAAAAAAGAATAAACTCAAGTTCAAACAAGACACAAACTCAAGTTCAAAAAACACAAACTCAAGTTCAAACACGACACAAACTCAAGTTCAAAAACACCACAAGCTCAAGTTCAAACACGACACAAACTAAAGTTCAAAAAACACAAAAACTGAAGTTCAACAAACACACAAACTAAAGTTCAAACACGACCTAAACTAAAGTTCAACAAATACACAAACTAAAGTTCAACAATAACACAAACCCAAGTTCAACAAGCACCTGATTCTCAAGTTTAACAATTTCCAAAAAATCAAGTTAAAAAAATACACAAACTAAAGTTCAAAAAAAAAATCTCAATGTCACCAAACATTTAAATTAAAGTTCAACAAACGCTGGAAAAAAAATGTTCAAACACAACACAAACTCAAGTTCAAAAAACACACAAACTCAAGTTTAAACACGACACAAACTCAAGTTCAACAAACAAACAAACTCAAGTTCAAAAAACACCACAATCTCAAGTTCAAACACGAGACAAACTCAAGTTCAACAAACACACTAACCCAAGTTCAACCAACAACTGATTCTCAAGTTTAAAAATTTCCCCAAACTCTAGTTCAAAAACAACAGTAACTCAAGTTCAAAAAACACAAAAACTCATGTTCACCAAACATGCAAATTTAAGTTCAAAAACACCACAAAATCAAGTTCAAACACGACAAAAACTCAAGTCCAAAAACACAAAAAACTCAAATTCAACCAATACCCAATTCTCAAATTTAAAAATTTCCACAACCTCAAGTTCAAACATGAAACAAACTCAAGTTCAAACAAGACTAAAAACTCAAGTTCAACAAACACACAAACTCAAGTTCAAAAACACCACAAACTCAAGTTCAAACACGACACAAACTCAAGTTCAACAAACAAACAAACTCAAGATAAAAAACACTACAAACTCAAGTTCAAACACGACACAAACTCAAGTTCAACAAACACACAAACTAAAGTTCAAAAACACCACAAACTCAAGTTCAAACACGACACAAACTCAAGTTCAATAAAACCCTGAAACTCAAGTTCAAACACGACACAAACTCAAGTTCAATAAACCCCTGAAACTCAAGTTCAAACACGAGACAAACTCAAGTTCAAAAACAAAAAACAAACTCAAATTCAAACACAACACAAACTCAAGTTCAACAGACGCCATATACTCAAGTTCAAAAACAATACAAACTCAAGTTCAAAAACACCACAAACTCAAGTTGAAACACGACACAAACTCAAGTTCAAAAACATCACAAACTCAAGTTCAAAAACATCAAAAACTCAAGTTCAAAAACACTACAAACTCAAGTTCAAAAACACTACAAACTCAAGTTCAAACATGACACAAACTCAAGTTCAACAAACACAAAATCAAGTTCAACCAACATCTGAATCTCAAGTTTAACAACTTCCACAAAATCAAGTTAAAAAACAACTGAAACTCAAGTTCAAAAAAGACGAAAACTCATGTTCAACAAACACGCAACTCAAGTTCAAACACGAAAATATCTCAAGTTCCAACAAGACACAAACTCAAGTTCAAAAACAACAGAAACTCAAGTTCAACAAACACACAAACCCAAGTTCAACAAGCACCTGATTCTCAAGTTTAACAATTTCCAAAAAATCAAGTTAAAAAAACAACAAACTAAAGTTAAAAAAAAAAAAATCTCAATGTCACCAAACATTTAAATTAAAGTTCAACAAACGCTGGAAAAAAAATGTTCAAACACAACACAAACTCAAGTTCAAAAAACACACAAACTCAAGTTTAAACACGACACAAACTCAAGTTCAACAAACAAACAAACTCAAGTTCAAAAAACACCACAATCTCAAGTTCAAACACGAGACAAACTCAAGTTCAACAAACACACTAACCCAAGTTCAACCAACAACTGATTCTCAAGTTTAAAAAATTCCCCAACCTCTAGTTCAAAAACAACAGTAACTCAAGTTCAAAAAACACAAAAACTCATGTTCACCAAACATGCAAATTTAAGTTCAAAAACACCACAAAATCAAGTTCAAACACGACAAAAACTCAAGTCCAAAAACACAAAAAACTCAAATTCAACCAATACCCAATTCTCAAGTTTAACAATTTCCACAACCTCAAGTTCAAACATGAAACAAACTCAAGTTCAAACACGACTAAAAACTCAAGTTCAACAAACACACAAACTCAAGTTCAAACACGACACAAACTCAAGTTCAAACACGACACAAACTCAAGTTCAACAAACAAACAAACTCAAGATAAAAAACACTACAAACTCAAGTTCAAACACGACACAAACTCAAGTTAAACAAACACACAAACTAAAGTTCAAAAACACCACAAACTCAAGTACAAACACGACACAAACTCAAGTTCAATAAACACACTAACTCAAGTTCAACCAACAACTGATTCTCAAGTTTAACAATTTCCACAACCTCAAGTTCAAAAACGACACAAACTCAAGTTAAAAAACAACACAAACTCAAGTTTAACAAACACACAAACTAAAGTTCAAACACGACACAAAGTCAAGTTCAAAAAACACACAAACTCAAGTTCAACCACAATACCTGATTCTCAAGTTTAACAAATTCCACAACCTCAAGTTCAAAAACAACAGAAACTCAAGTTAAAAAAACCCACAAACTCAAGTTCAAACACAACACAAACACAAGTTCAACAAAGACACAAACTCAAGGTCAAAACACACCACAATCTCAAGTTCAAACACGAGACAATCTCAAGTTCAAACACAACTGAAACTCAAGTTCTAAAAACACGAAAACTCATGTTTACCAAACACAAACTCAAGTTCAACAAATACACAAAGTTCAAAAACTCAAAAAATTTCAAGTTCAACCAATAACCAATTCTCAAGTTTAACAATTTCCACAACCTCAAGTTCAAACAGGAAACAAACTCAAGTTCAAAAACACCACAAACTCAAGTTCAAACACAACACAAATTCAAGTTCAGAAAACACACTAACTCAAGTTCAACCAACACCTGATTCTCAAGTTTAACAAATTCCACAACCTCAAGTTCAAAAACAAAAGAAACTCAATTAAAAAAATAACACAAACTCAATTTCACCAAACACATAACTTAAATTCAAAGACAACAGAAACTCAAGTTCTAACACGACACAAACTCAAGTTCAAAAACACCAAAAACTCAAGTTCAACCAACACCTGATTCTCAAGTTTAACAATGTCCATAACCTTAAGTTAAAAAAAAGAAACTCAAGTTCAACAAACACACAAACTCAAGTTCAACAAACAAACTAACTCAAGTTCAACCAACACCTGATTCTCAAGTTAAACAAATTCCATAACCTCAAGTTCAAAAACAACAGAAACTCAATTAAAAAAATAACACAAACTCAACTTCACCAAACACATAACTCAAATTCAAAGACAACAGAAACTCAAGTTCTAACACGACACAAACTCAAGTTCAAAAACACCAAAAACTCACGATCAACCAACACCTGATTCTCAAGTTTAACAATGTCCATAACCTTAAGTTAAAAAAAAGAAACTCAAGTTCAACAAACACACTAACTCAAGTTCAACAAACACACAAACTCAAGTTCAACAAACACCTGATTCTCATGTTTAAATAATTCCAAACCCTCAAGTTCAACAACACCACAAACTCAAGTTCAAACACTACACAAACTCAAGTTCAACAAACGCCACAAACTCATGTTCAAACACGACACAAACACAAGTTCAAAAACAAAAAACAAACTCAAGTTCAAATACAACAAAAACTCAAGTTCAACAGACGCCATAAACTCAAGTTCAAACGCAATACAAACTCAAGTTAAAAAACACAAAAATCTCAAGTTCAAATACAACACAAACTCAAGTTCAACGAACACACAAACTCAAGTTCAAAAACACCACAAACTCAAGTTCAAAAACACTACAAACTCAAGTTCAAACATGACACAAACTCAAGTTCAACAAACACAAACTAAAGTTCAACCAACATCTGAATCTCAAGTTTAACAACTTCCACAAAATCAAGTTCAAAAACAACTGAAACTCAAGTTCAAAAAACATGAAAGCTCATGTTCAACAAACACGCAACTCAAGTTCAAACACGAAAATATCTCAAGTTCAAACATGAAACAAACTCAAGTTCAAAAACAACACAAACTCAAGTTCAAAAAACACACAAACTAAAGTTCAGACACAACACAAACTCAAGTTCAAACACGACACAAACTCAAGTTCAACAAACACATAAACTCAAGCTCAAACACAACACAAACTCAAGTTCAACAAACACACTAAATCAAGTTAAACCAATACCTGATTCTCAAGTTTAACAAATTCCACAACCTCAAGTAAAAAAAAAACAGAAACTCAAGTTAAAAAAAACAAACTCAATTTCACCAAACACACAACTCAAGTTCAAAAACAACGGAAACTCTAGTTCAAATTCGACACAAACTCAAGTTCCAAAAACAACACAAACTCAAGGTCAAACACAACACAAACTCAAGTTCAGAAAACACACTAACTCAAGTTCAACCAACACCTGATTCTAAAGTTTAACAAATTCCACAACCTCAAGTTAAAAAAAAACACAAACTCAATTTCACCAAACACACAACTCAGGTTCAAAAACAACAGAAACTCAAGTTCAAAAAACACAAAAACTCATGTTCACCAAACACGCAGGTCAAGTTCAAAAATACAAAAAATTTCAAGTTCAACCAATACCCAATTCTCAAGTTTAACAATTTCCACAACCTCAAGTTCAAACACGAAACAAACTCAAGTTCAAAAACACCACAAACTCAAGTTCAAACACAACACAAACTCAAGTTCAGACACAACACAAACTCAAGTTCAAACACGACACAAACTCAAGTTCAGAAAACACACTAACTTAAGTTCAACCAACACCTGATTCTAAAGTTTAACAAATTCCACGACCTCAAGATAAAAAAAACACAAACTCAATTTCACCAAACACACAACTCAGGTTCAAAAACAACAAAAACTCAAGTTCAAACACAACAAAAACTCAAGTTCAACAAACTCCACAAACTCAAGTTCAACCATGACACAAACTCAAGTTCAAAAACAAAAAACAAATTAAATTTCAAACACAACACAAACTCAAGTTCAACAAACGCCATAAACTCAGGTTCAAACATAATACAAACTTAAGTTCAAAAACACCACAAACTCAAGTTCAAACACAACACAAACTCAAGTTCAACCACAACCACATCTGAATATCAAGTTTAACAACTTCCACAAAATCAAGTTAAAAAACAACTTAAACTCAAGTTCAAAAAACACGAAAACTCATGTTCACCAAACACAAACTCAAGTTCAACAAACACACAAACTCAAGTTCAAATACACCACAAACTCAAGTTCAAACATGACACAAACTCAAGTTCAAGAAACGCCACAAACTCAAGTTCAAACACGAGACCAACTCAAGTTCAAAAACACCACAAACTCAAGTTCAAACACACCACAAACTCAAGTTCAACAAACACACAAACTCAAGTTCAACAAACACCTGATTCTCATGTTTAAATAATTCCAAACCCTCAAGTTCAACAACACCACAAACTCAAGTTCTAACACGACACAAACTCAAGTTCAAAAACACCAAAAACTCACGATCAACCAACACCTGATTCTCAAGTTTAACAATGTCCATAACCTTAAGTTAAAAAAAAGAAACTCAAGTTCAACAAACACACTAACTCAAGTTCAACAAACACACAAACTCAAGTTCAACAAACACCTGATTCTCATGTTTAAATAATTCCAAACCCTCAAGTTCAACAACACCACAAACTCAAGTTCAAACACTACACAAACTCAAGTTCAACAAACGCCACAAACTCATGTTCTAACACAACACAAACACAAGTTCAAAAACAAAAAACAAACTCAAGTTCAAATACAACAAAAACTCAAGTTCAACAGACGCCATGAACTCAAGTTCAAACGCAATACAAACTCAAGTTAAAAAACACAAAAATCTCAAGTTCAAATACAACACAAACTCAAGTTCAACGAACACACAAACTCAAGTTCAAAAACACCACAAACTCAAGTTCAAAAACACTACAAGCTCAAGTTCAAACATGACACAAACTCAAGTTCAAGAAACACAAACTAAAGGTCAACCAACATCTGAATCTCAAGTTTAACAACTTCCACAAAATCAAGTTCAAAAACAACTGAAACTCAAGTTCAAAAAACATGAAAGCTCATGTTCAACAAACACGCAACTCAAGTTCAAACACGAAAATATCTCAAGTTCAAACATGACACAAACTCAAGTTCAAAAACAACACAAACTCAAGTTCAAAAAACACACAAACTCAAGTTCAGACACAACACAAACTCAAGTTCAAACACGACACAAAGGCAAGTTCAACAAACACATAAACTCAAGCTCAAACACAACACAAACTCAAGTTCAACAAACACACTAAATCAAGTTAAACCAATACCTGATTCTCAAGTTTAACAAATTCCACAACCTCAAGTAAAAAAAAACAGAAACTCAAGTTAAAAAAAACAAACTCAAGTTCAAACACAACACAAACTCAAGTTCAAACACGACACAAACTCAAGTTCAAAAACATCACAAACTCAAGGTCAAACACAACACAAACTCAAGTTCAGAAAACACACTAACTCAAGTTCAACCAACACCTGATTCTAAAGTTTAACAAATTCCACAACCTCAAGATAAAAAAAACACAAACTCAATTTCACCAAACAAACAACTCAGGTTCAAAAACAGCAAAAACTCAAGTTCAAACACAACAAAAACTCAAGTTCAACAAACTCCACAAACTCAAGTTCAACCATGACACAAACTCATGTTCAATAACAAAAAACAAATTAAATTTCAAACACAACACAAACTCAAGTTCAACAAACGCCATAAACTCAGGTTCAAACATAATACAAACTTAAGTTCAAAAACACCACAAACTCAAGTTCAAACACAACACAAACTCAAGTTCAACCACAACCACATCTGAATATCAAGTTTAACAACTTCCACAAAATCAAGTTAAAAAACAACTTAAACTCAAGTTCAAAAAACACGAAAACTCATGTTCACCAAACACAAACTCAAGTTCAACAAACACACAAACTCAAGTTCAAATACACCACAAACTCAAGTTCAAACATGACACAAACTCAAGTTCAAGAAACGCCACAAACTCAAGTTCAAACACGAGACCAACTCAAGTTCAAAAACACCACAAACTCAAGTTCAAACACAACACAAACTCAAGTTCAACAAACACACAAACTCAAGTTCAAGTTCAACACAAACTCAAGTTCAAACACGACACAAACTCAGGTTCAAAAACACCACAAACTCAAGTTCAAACACGAGACAAACTCAAGTTCAACAAACACACAAACTCAAGTTCAACAGACGCAATAAACTCAAGTTCAAACACAATACAAACTCAAGTTCAAAAACAGCACAAACTCAAGTTCTAAAACACTAAAAACTCAAGTTCAAACATGACACAAACTCAAGTTCAACAAAGACAAAATCAAGTTCAACCAACATCTGAATCTCAAGTTTAATAACTTCCACAAAATCAAGTTAAGAAACATCTGAAACTCAAGTTCAAAAAGCACGAAAAATCATGTTCAACAAACACTCAACTCAAGTTAAACATGAAAATATCTCAAGTTCAAACACGACACAAACTCAAGTTCAAGCACAACACAAACTAAAGTTCAAACACGACACAAACTCAGGTTCAAAAAATCTACAAACTAAAGTTCAAACACGTGACAAACTAAAGTTAAAAAAAACACTAACTCAAGGTTAAAATACACCACAATCTCAAGTTCAAACACGAGACAAACTCAAGTTCAACAAACACACTAACTCAAGTTCAACCAACAACTGATTCTCAAGTTTAACAATTTCCACAACCTCAAATTAAAAAAACGACACAAACTCAAGTTCAAAAACAACACAGTCAAGTTCGAAAAACACACAAACTCAAGTTCAACCACAATACCTTATTCTCAAGTTTAACAAATTCCACAACCTCAAGTTCAAAAAAAAAACTCAAGTTTAAAAAAACACAAACCTACTTTCACCAAACACACAACTGAAGTTCAAAAACAACAGAAACTCAAGTTCAAAAACGACAAAAACTCAAGTTCAACAAACACAAAATCAAGTTCAACCAACATCTGAATCTCAAGTTTAACAACTTTCACAAAATCAAGTTGAAAAACAACTGAAACTCAAGTTCAAAAAACACGAAAACTCATGTTCACCAAACACGAAAACTCATGTTCACCAAACACGCAACTCAAGTTCAAACACAAAAATACTTCAAGTTTAAACACGATACCAACTCAAGTTCAAAAACACCACAAACTCAAGTTCAACAAATACACAAACTCAAGTTTAACCAATACCCAATTTTCAAGTTTAACAAATTCCAAACCCTCAAGTTAAAAAACACCACAAACTCAAGTTAAACACGACAGAAACTCAAGTTCAAAAACAAAAAACAAATTAAATTTCAAACACAACACAAACTCAAGTTCAACAAACGCCATAAACTCAAGTTCAAACACAACACAAACTCAAGTTCAATCACAACACAAACTCAAGTTCAAAAACACTACAAACTCAAGTTCAAACATGACACAAACTCAAGTTCAACAAACACAAACTTAAGTTCAACCAACATCTGAATATCAAGTTTAACAATTTCCACAAAATCAAGTTCAAAAACAACTGAAACTCAAGTTCTTAAAAAAAACTCATGTTTACCAAACACAAACTCAAGTTCAACAAACACACAAACTCAAGTTAAAATACACCACAAACTCAAGTTCAAACATGACACAAACTCAAGTTCGAAAACACCACAAACTAAAGTTGAAACACGGAACAAACTCAGGTTCAAAAAACACACAAACTCAAGTTCAACCAACATCTGATTCTAAGGTTTAACAATTTCCAATACCTCAAGTTCAAAAACAACAGAAACTCAAGTTAAACAAACGCCACAAACTCAAGTTCAAACACGACACAAACTCAAGTTCAAAAACACCACAAACTCAAGTTCAAACACAACACAAACTCAAGTTCAAACACTACACAAACTCAAGTTCAAAAACACGACAAACTCAAGTTCAAACACAACACAAACTCAAGGTCAAACACGACACAAACTAAAGTTCAAACACAACACAAACTCAAGTTCAAAAAACACACAAACTCAAGTTAAAAAACACCACAAATTCAAGTTTAAAAACACCACAGACTCAGGTTCAAAAAACACACAAACTCAAGTTCAACCAACACCTGATTCTAAAGTTGAACAATTTCCAATACCTCAAGTTCAAAAACAACAGAAACTCAAGTTCAACAAACGCCACAAACTCAAGTTCAAACACAACATAAATTCAAGTTTAAAAAACAAAAAACAAATTAAATTTCAAACACAACACAAACTCAAGTTCAACAAACATCTGATTCTCAAGTTTAAATAATTCCACACCCTCAAGTTCAAAAACACCACACCCTCAAGTTCAAAAACACCACAAACTCAAGTTCAAACACGACACAAACTCAAGTTCAAACACGACACAAACTCAAGTTCAAAAACAAAAAACAAATTAAATTTAAAACACAACAGAAACTCAAGTTCAACAAACGCCATAAACTCAAGTTCAAAAACACCAAAAACTCAAGTTCAAACACAACACAAGCTCAAGTTCAATCACAACACAAACTCAAGTTCAAAAACACTACAAACTCAAGTTCAAACATGATACAAACTCAAGTTCAACAAACACAAACTCAAGTTCAACAAACACACAAACTCAAGTTCAAATACACCACAAAATCAAGTTAAAACATGACTCAAACTCAAGTCCGACAAACGCCACAAACTCAAGTTCAAACATACCACAAACTCAAGTTCAAAAAGCACACAAACTCAAGTTTAACCAATACCCAATTTTCAAGTTTAACAAATTCCAAACCCTCAAGTTAAAAAAAAACCACACAAACTCAATTTCAACAAACACATTAACTCAAGTTAATCCAACACCTGAATCACAAGTTTAACAATTTCCTCAAACTCAAGTTAAAAAAAACCACAAACTCAAAGTCAAACACGACACAAACTCAAGTTCAAAAACACCACAAACTCAAGTTCAAACACAACACAAACTCAAGTTCAAAAACACCACGAACTAAAGTTCAAACACTACACAAACTCAGGTTCAAAAAACGCACAAACTCAAGTTCAACCAACACCTGATTCTAAGGTTAAACAATTTCCAATACCTCAAGTTCAAAAACAACAGAAACTCAAGTTCAACAAACGCCACAAACTCAAGTTCAAACACGACACAAACTCAAGTTCAAAAACACCACACACTCAAGTTCAAACACAACACAACCTCAAGTTCAAACACGACACAAACTAAAGTTCAAACAACACACAGACTCAAGTTCAACGAACACCTGATTCTAGAGTTTGAATAATTCCACACCCTCAAGTTCAAAAACACTACAAACTCAAGTTCAAACATGACACAAACTCAAGTTCAACAAACACAAACTCAAGTTCAACCAACATCTGAATATCAAGTTTAACAACTTCCACAAAATCAAGTTCAAAAACAACTGAAACTCAAGTTCTTAAAACACGAAAACTCATGTTTACCAAACACAAACTCAAGTTCAACAAACACACAAACTCAAGTTCAAATACACCACAAACTCAAGTTAAAACATGACACAAACTCAAGTTCGACAAACGCCACCATCTCAAGTTCAAACACACCACAAACTCAAGTTCAAAAACACCACAAACTCAAGTTCAAACACAACACAACCTCAAGTTCAAACACGACACAAACCAAAGTTCAAACAACACACAAACTCAAGTTCAACGAACACCTGATTCTAGAGTTTGAATAATTCCACACCCTCAAGTTCAAAAACACCACAAACTCAAGTTCAAACACACCACAAACGCAAGTTCAAAAAGCACAAAAACTCAAGTTAAACCAATACCCAATTTTCAAGTTTTACAAATTCCAAACCCTCAAGTTAAAAAACACCACAAACTCAAGTTCAAACACAATACAAACTCAAGTTCAAAAAACACGAAAACTCATGTTCACCAAACACAAACTCAAGTTCAACAAACACACAAACTCAAGTTCAAATACACCACAAACTCAAGTTCAAACATGACACAAACTCAAGTTCAAGAAACGCCACAAACTCAAGTTCAAACACGACACCAACTCAAGTTCAAAAACACCACAAACTCAAGTTCAACAAACACACAAACTCAAGTTTAACCAATACCCAATTTTCAAGCTTAACAAATTCCAAACCCTCAAGTTAAAAAACACCACAAACTCAAGTTAAAACACGACGTATACTCAAATTCAACAAACGGCACAAACTCAAGTTAAAACACGAAACAAACTCAAGTAAAAAAAAAAACTCAAGTTCAAAAACAACACAAACTGAAGTTCAAGAAACACACAAACTCAAGTTCTAAAACACCCACAAACTAAAGTTCTTACACGACACAAACTTAAGTTAAAAAAACACACTAACTCAAGTTCATCCAACACCTGAATCTCAAGTTTAACAATTTCCTCAAACTCAAGTTCAAAAACACACAAATCAAGTTCAAAAAACACACAAACTCAAGTTCAAAAACACCATAAACTAAAGTGCAAACACGACACAAACTCAGGTTCAAAAAACACACAAACTCAAGTTCAACCAACACCTGATTCTAAAGTTGAACAATTTCCAATACCTCAAGTTCAAAAACAACAGAAACTCAAGTTCAACAAACGCCACAAACTCAAGTTCAAACACAACATAAACTCAAGTTTAAAAAACAAAAAACAAATTAAATTTCAAACACAACACAAACTCAAGTTCAACAAACATCTGATTCTCAAGTTTAAATAATTCCACACCCTCAAGTTCAAAAACACCACAAACTCAAGTTCAAACACGACACAAACTCAAGTTCAAAAACAAAAAACAAATTAAATTTAAAACACAACAGAAACTCAAGTTCAACAAACGCAATAAACTCAAGTTCAAAACACCACAAACTCAAGTTCAAACACAACACAAACTCAAGTTCAATCACAACACAAACTCAAGTTCAAAAACACAACAAACTCAAGTTCAAACATGACACAAACTCAGGTTCAACAAACACAAACTCAAGTTCAACAACATCTAAATATCAAGTTTAACAACTTCCACAAAATCAAGTTCAAAAACAACTGAAACTCAAGTTCTAAAAACACGAAAACTCATGTTTACCAAACACAAACTCAAGTTCAACAAACACACAAACTCAAGTTCAAATACACCACAAACTCAAGTTCAAACACAACACAACCTCAAGTTCAAACATGACACAAACTAAAGTTCAAACAACACACAACCTTAAGTTCAACGAACACCTGATTCTAGAGTTTGAATAATTCCACACCCTCAAGTTCAAAAACACCACAAACTCAAGTTCAAAAAACACAAAATCAAGTTCAACCAACACCTGATTCTAAGGTTTAACAATTTCCAATACCTCAAGTTCAAAAACAATAGAAACTCAAGTTCAACAAACGCCACAAACTCAAGTTCAAACACAAAACAAACTCAAGTTCAAAAACACCACAAACTAAAGTTCAAACACAACACAACCTCAAGTTCAAACACAACCCAAACTAAAGTTCAAACAACACACAAACTCAAGTTCAACGAACACCTGATTCTAGAGTTTGAATAATTCCACACCCTCAAGTTCAAAAACACCACAAACTCAAGTTCAAACACGACACAAACTCAAGCTCAACAAAAACCACAAACTCAAGCTCAACAAAAACCACAAACTCAAGTTCAACAAATGTCAAAGTTTTAAGTTCAACCAACACCCAAATCTCAAGTTTAACAATTTCAAAAACCTCAAGTTGAAACATGCACAAACTCAAGTTCAAATACGACACAAACTCAAGTTCAAAAACACCACAAACTAAAGTGCAAACACGACACAAACTCAGGTTCAAAAAACACACAAACTCAAGTTCAACCAACACCTGATTCTAAGGTTTAACAATTTCAAACACGACATAAACTCAAGTTCAAAAACAAAAAACAAATTACATTTCAAACACAACACACAAACTCAAGTTCAATCAACACCTGATTCTCAAGTTTAACAATTTCCACTACCTAAGGTTAAAAAACACCACAACCTCAAGCTCAAAAAACACCATTTACTGAAGCTTAAACACGCCACAAACTCAAGTTCAACAAACTCACAAACTCAAGTTCAACCAACACCTGATTCTCAAGTTTAACAATTTCCACAACCTCAAGTTTAAAAAACACCACAACCTCAACCTCACAAAACACCACAAACTGAAGTTCAAACACGCCACAAACTCAAGTTCAACCAATTCCCAATTCTGAGATTGAACAAATTCCATAACCTCAAGTTAAAAAACACCACAAATTCAAGTTCAAAAACACCACAGACTTAAGTTCAAACAAGACACAAACTCAAGTTAAAAAATTTCCTCAATCACAAGTTCAAAAACAAAAAACTCAAGTTCAACCACGCGCAAACGCAAGTTCAACAAACTCACAAACTCAAGTTCAACCAACACCTGATTCTCAAGTTTAACAATTTCCACAACCTCAAGTTTAAAAAACACCACAACCTCAAGCTCAAAAACCCCATGAACTCAAGTTCAAAAACGACACAAACAAAAGTTCAACAAACACCACAAACTCATTTTCAACAAATGTCAAGATTTTAAGTTCAACCAACACCCAAATCTCAAGTTTCACAATTGTAACAACCTCAAGTTCAAAAATGCCACAAACTCAAGTTCAAAAACACCACAAACTCAAGTTAAAAAAAACCCTAAAACTTAAGTTCAACAAATGTCAAATTTTTAAGTTCAACGAACACCCAAATCTCAAGTTTAACAATTTCCACAATCTCAAGTTCAAAAACACCACAAACTCAAGATCAACAAACAAATAAACTCGAGGGACTTCCGGTTGGCAGCAGGCAGGCGAGCATGATACCGTGAATGCTCCTCACAAATCTCCACAAATGTCTCTAAAAGTTAAGTTTAAACGAGAATCTATGTAGGCTTAAAATAACACGTATATGTTGGATGAATCTGCGATCTGGTGCGGCCACTAAAGTCAATATTGCCAAAAAGAAAACAAAGAAGAAAGACGCGACAAACATTTCAAACAAAGAAATGGCGACGGGTAGCCTCGAAGCTACGATCCAAACAATGATGCAGGAGCTCAAAGGAGAGATCAAAGGGCTCAAAGAAGATCTTATCAAACAAATTGGGAGCCTCAGAACGGACGTCGAGTCTTTCGCGACCGAGATTAAACAAGTTCAAAAGGACGTAAAAGAAGTCCGGGCAGAGATGGGAAATGCGGTGGACAAGATCGCAGAAGCCGAGGAAAGAATCAACCAGATGGAAGAAGGAGAGGTGACTATAAACGCACTTAACGCACTTAAACACCTCCTACGGGAACAAAAGAAGATTAATCAAAGGCTGGAGTATCAAGAACAAAAATCAAGGCAATTTAACGCCCGAATTTTTCAAGTAATTGAAGGAATAGAACAACAGGATATGGTGGGTTTCGTTAAATCAATACTGGTGGAACAGTTGAAGATACCAGCCGACACATTCCACATCTGTGCAGCCCACCGCTCCCTCGCCAAAAAGCCGACGGGAGTAGATGCAACACCTCGGTCTATTGTTGTCCGCTTTCTGTCGTGGAACACCCGAGAGAAAGTGGTAAAAACAGCGTGGGCGAAAAAAGACATTACAGCTGGAGGTAAACGCATTTATTTTGACAGAGACCTACCTGAAAAGGTACAGAAAGAGAGACGCAGATATGCCCCACTAAGACTACAACTGAAAGAAAAAAAGATTAAGTCCTTCATAATACACCCGGCGAAACTGAAGGTCTTCGAAGAGGAAGGATCGTTCATTATCTACAACACACCGGAGGATGCGGAGACGCAACTACGGGCCAAGGGACTAATCTCCACAGAGCGGTGCGTCGGAGCGCACCATGGCAAGCATGGCACACTGCGCAAAGAAGGAGCACAATCGGCACCTTTCCAGAGGAGCGGCGGAGATGAAGAGACTTTGGAGACCCTACTAGAAGATGCTATGAGGGGACTGTAAAAGGACTTGAAGTTATAGTGAACGGTGGCCTTATGTTCATCTCAGGATGCGTAATGGAGAGGTAAACACACTCTTTATCCTAAGTGGAGCAACACAGGAATGGGAGGACAGTAGCCAGCCACTAGACTTGTATGGTTTGAAAGTTAATGACTGAATTTAGCCTAGAATACAGGACTCTTTTTCTTTCTTCACTTTATTCTCATTAGCGGTTTTTAAGCCTACTCTATACTTGCCCCATGCTTTTTCTGTTTTAATGGGACTTAAATACGCCTGATTTCAATCAAACATGGGGTCTCAGTTTCCCTCTCTTTTCTTTTCAACTTCTTTTTTTTTTCATTTAAGTTATGCCATATCTAATTTTTATTTATCATGAATGATCCCTAAACGAACTGGGAATTATAGGGGTGGGGGGTGCTTAGGAGGGGGAAAATGCTTTGGAAAGAAGAAAAGAAAAGAAAAGGAAAAGTATTTATGTTGGGGTACTTTTTTTTTTAGGTTCGGTTTAATACTCTACTCCAAGTGTGTGAATAACTTAAAAAAGTATTTATTTTGGGGTATTTCTTTTTATTATTATTATTATTTTCTGCTTAGGAAGGGGGAAGATGCTTTGGAAAGAAGAAAAGAAAAGGAAAAGTATTTATGTTGGGGTACTTTTTTTTTTTTTTTTTAAGGTTCTGTTTAATACTCTACCTCAAGTGTGTGAATAATTTAGTTAAAGAGACGGAGGAGGGACATACGCCTGTACGCAGCCCACCATGCAAATATGGGCTCTGTTAAAGCTCATATTGGCCTCATGGGTTACCATGGGGCAGGAGTCTTTCTATGAAAGCTCCCTATTTCACATAACAATATTAATGTGGAATATCTCTTGTAACCATAGAGAGGTTACAGACCCTGGAAGTGCACATCTGGGTCCTTTGTTTGTGTGTGTTATGTTTTCGATACGTGCGTTATTTTTTCAGTTTATAGGCTTTGAATATGAAGCAGCTGGTATCCAAGAGAAGAATAATGGGAAAACTTAAACTAATTTCCTTGAATACAAATGGTTTAAATAATCCAATAAAAAGGAAGAGAGTATTTCAAAAACTTAAAAAGGAAGGAGGGGAAATTATTTTTCTACAGGAAACACATCTTAATAAAGTGGAACACGTAAAACTGGAGAAATTGGCAACCAGCCAAGTTTTCGCCTCCTCCTTTACATCAGCTAAAAGGGGTGTGGCAGTCCTAATTAAAAATAATCTTATGTTTAATAGTGAAAAATGTATTAAAGACAAGGAAGGGAGGTACGTTCTGGTAATTGGTCAAATAGAAGAACAATACATAACCCTCGTCAATGTTTATAACCCACCTGGACAAGGAATAGATTTAATGAAAAAAATCCTAACATTATTAGTGACAGAAGGGAAGGGTATGATCATAATGGGGGGAGATTTTAATTTAATTATGAATCAAAAGGACACACAGAGCAAAATAAAACATAAAGCAGAACAAGCTGCAATGTTAATGAAGAAAGCCCAAATCGAGTTGGGGCTAGTAGATGTGTGGCGCTGCTTACACCCCCAGGAAAAGGCTTTCACTTTTTTCTCTGGTGCTCATGACGTCTACTCAAGATTAGACTTTTTTTTTATTTTTAAGAATGAGATTTCAAAGGTCATAAAATGTGAAATATTACCCATAGCAATAACAGATCATGCACCAGTTATAATGGAAATAAACCTGAAAAGGGAACAAGGGGAAACATTATGGAGGTTAAATAACTCACTGCTGGAGGATCAGAGTTTCAAAGTGAAGATGGAACAAAGTGTGAAGTCTTTTTTTGGAGATAAATGATAAGGAAGTGACACCTATTATTCTATGGGAAGCGGCAAAAGCAACAATAAGGGGTGGTGAAATAATAGCATACTCATCTCATCAAAAGAGGAAAAGGGAAAGAGAAAAAAATTTTTTGGAAAATGAAATAAAAAGACTTCAGGAACAGCATGAAAGAAACTTGAACAAAGAAACATACAGACAACTGAAAACAGCGAAAAAAGCTTTAGACACTATAGAAATACATGAAATTGAAAAGGACCTTATGCTGTGTAGGCAGACTTATTACGATAACAGTCCAAAAGCATTGAAAATATTAGCAACCAAATTAAAGAAACAAAAAGAAAAAAGTGCAATAGTAACTATTAAGGATGGAAATGACGAGCCCCAGAGAGGTAAATCAAATATAGCAGCATGTTTCAGAGACTATTACCAAACCCTTTATACTCCAGAACAAGCAGATGTGAGCATGCAAAATATTAAAGAGTATCTAACACTTCTAAACCTTCCTGTAGTAACAGATACACAAAATAAAGACTTAGTTAAACCAATAACAGAAGCCGAAATTACAAAGGTTATACAGAAAAGCAAAACTGGGAAAAGCCCTGGAAGTGATGGCTTTACAAATGAATTTTTTAAGTGTTTTAGAGTTTTGTTATTACCTATCCTTGGCAGGGTCTTTAATTACATTTTAGAAACAGGAGTATGGCCAGACACCTGGAATTCTGCAATTATTACTGTAATACCAAAAGAAGGAAAAGATTTGACAAATTGCTCATCCTACAGACCGATATCTCTTTTAAATGTTGATCAAAAGATATTCACATCAATCATAGCCAATAGACTCTCACACATACTCCCAGATATAATTAATTCAGATCAAACTGGATTTGTCAAGGACCGTCTTTTAAGTGATAATTTGAGGCGTACTCTCAATATTATAGACCAAACAGTGATGACGAAACAACAGATGCTGACATTAAGCTTAGATGCCGAAAAGGCTTTTGATAGAGTCTCTTGGACGTTTTTACTAGGAGTATGTGAGAAGTTTGGCTTTCATAAAACATTTATTACACTGATTGAAGGAATGTATAAAGAACCAAATGCAAGAGTAAGAGTTAATGGGATGCTATCTAAGACCATCAATTTGAAACGAGGAATAAAACAAGGAGATCCCATATCACCCCAAATTTTTAATTTATGTATTGAACCTTTAGCAGAACAAATTAGGATAAATAATGAAATAAAGGGAGTTAATGTAAAGGGAGAAGAACATAAACTAGCAATGTATGCAGATGATATCATTGTATACCTCACAGAAATCCGCCAATCTCTACCTAGTTTATTAAAGGAAATAACAAACTATAGTATTATGTCTGGCTACAAGCTAAATTTAAATAAAACAGAAGCGATGTTAGTGGGGGGCCATCTGGAAAATGAATTTAAAAAACAGTTCAATATAAAATGGGATCAGAATAAAGTTAAATATTTAGGAGTAATCATACCTAACAATTTTAACGAATTATATAATTGCAACTATGTGCCCTTGGAAAATGCTGTGAAACAAGATTTCAGTAGATGGAAAATAACACCCCTGACTCTCCTAGAAAGAATTAAGATTATAAAAATGTATGTCCTGCCACGCTTCTTATTTTTATTCCAAAACCTGCCTTTGTATATATCACCGACACGCTTCCATACCTGGGAGGGAATGCTGAGAAAATTTATATGGGACGCTAAGAAGCCAAGAGTTAAATTAAAATTATTGCAACAGAACAAAGACAGAGGTGGGTTGGCCTTACCTAATCTGTGTCATTATTACTATGCAGCACAGATTAAACCTATACTGATATGGATGAACAATAAGAGAAACCCTAAATGGAAGCGTATGGAATTGAGTCTGGTCGAGTCACTCAGCACATTGATCTTTACACCTTATGATAAAGCACAGATGAAAACACTCAACTACTCTATACGTAATACTTTTAAGAGTTGGAAAACCATCTGTAAAATGTGTAAAATCAAGGAACAAGAAGCTACCTGTATGAGAGAAATGTTATGCGACTCAGATTTCACTCCAAATAGAATAGATCAGGTTTTTAAGATATGGGAAGGGAAAGGTCTTCAGAGATTCTTTCAAATGTATAATGACCAAGGAATGGTCTCTTTTGAAGATATAGTAGAACAATACAGTCTTCCTAGAGATCATTTTTTTAGATATCTGCAAGTGAGAAGCTACCTAAAAGATAAACTTAAAATTAGAACTCTTGGAAACCTTCACCCTATCCTGAGATACGTAACAAAATCTCATCAAAGACATGATTACAAAAACACAATTGGACAACTTTATCAAATATTTCAGGAAAACTTTGTTGAAGATCTAGATAATATTAAGGAAAAATGGGACAAAGAGCTGAGAATTACTATAGAAAGAAATGAGTGGAATCAGAGTTTCATGGACATTTTCAAACACATAAGATCTCCCTTCTGGCAGGAATATGCCTGGAAGATGAATATATGGTACTTCCAAACACCACTGTCCGTATCAAAGTACACATTAAACTCTAATTGTTGGAGGGAATGTGGGGAGAATAAGGCTGACCATACCCATATATTTTTTACATGTTCCAAAGTACAAAGCTTTTGGCTGAAGGTCTCACACACTATAGAACAAATATTTGGAAGAGATATTCAATTAGAAAATCACAATATAATTCTAGGAACACGTCCCAAACGATTGAGGAGCCAAGATCTTTATCTCTTCTGTATACTGAGAATGACTGCACTCAAACAAATTACAAGAGGTTGGAAAAGTGTGGACCACCCTAGGGTGGATAGGTGGCTGGAAACAATGGAAAATATGTATTTAATGGAAAAGGTGACATATAAAATTAATGGCAAGGAAACTTTGTTTGAGAAAAGATGGGTCTCTTATCTTTCAAATAAGGATAACCTGTATGCCTAAAAACAGAATTTTCATTGCTGAAACAAACACAACAAAGCCTTTTTTTTTTCTATTAAATTAATTAATTTATATATAGAGAGTTTTTTTTTTCTATTTTATTTATTAACATGTTTTTGTGTAGAAATGTCATGTTTTACGTCTCTGTTTGAGTTTATTTCTGTGTGCAGAAAAAAAAGGGTCAAAATGTCTGTAAAAAAGTGATATAAATGATGAAAAGGAAACATTGATGAAAAATTGAAACAAAAACAAACAAACTCAAGTACAAAAACACCACAAACTCAAGTTCAACCAACACCTGATTCTCACCTGATTCTCAAGTTTAATAATTTCCACAACCTCAAGTTCAAAAACACCAGAAACTCAAGATTAACAAACACAAAAACTAAAGTTCAAAAACACCACAAACTCAAGTTCAAAAACACCACAAACTCAAGTTCAACAAACACACAAACTTAAGTTCAACCAACACCTGATTCTCAAGTTTAACAATTTCAACAACCTCAGGTAAAAAAACACCACAACCTCAAGTTCAAATTCGACACAAACTCAAGTTCAAAAACACTACAAACTCAAGTTCAAAAACGACACAAACTGAAGTTAAACAAAAAGCTCAAACTCAAGTTCAACAAAGTTTCAAGTTCAACCAACACCCAAATCTCAATTGAACAATTGCAACAAGCTCAATTTCAAACACGCCACAAACTCAAATTCAAAACCACCACAATTCTCAAGTTCAAAAACACCATAATCTCAAGTTAAAAAAAAGAAAAACTCAAGTTCAAAAACAGCACAACCTCAAGTTCAAACACGCCACAAACTCAAGTTAAAAAACACCACAACCTCAAGCTCAAAAAACACCACAACCTCGAGCTCAAAAAACACCACAAACTGAAGTTAAAAACAACACAAACTCAAGTTCAACTGTGACGGCCCTGCCTAACTGGGGGTCAGGTGGACTAATCCTGGTGGAGCCATTTCATGTTTTCCCTGCAGGCCTACCTGGGAGAGAGTGGGTGTGGCAGATAATTGAAGCACCTGTGCCTAATGCTGCCACAGAGCATAAAAGGCCCTTCTCCAGTGCGGCTCTCTCTCTTGCTCTGACCCTGCCACAGGACTGCTGTCTCAGGCTTTTTGCTTTGATTTGACTTTGGTTTATTTTCACCCCACAACACCCTACACTTCATTACTCACACATCCACACTTACGACTGATATCACTGACTAACACACAACATATTTACAAATAATTGTTTAAGTCTCTAATTTGTTAAAATAAATCTTTACTTCTCGCCCTACACTGCGTCCGTTTCCATATATGTCATGGCTTAAGAGCCGGGTTATGACATATTGGGGGCTCGTCCAGCCGTGTTTTTCCCGTTTTGTTCGCATTTGTTGGGTAAGACTTGTGTGTTTGCAGTTTTGGTATTTTGGGGTATTTGGTGCCTAGTTGTGCGTCACTTTGGCTGGTTTGCATCTTGGGGTTACTTAAGATAATACACTACATATTCATTGCGACCTGTGTGGCGCGGATTGTAGGGGTTTTTGTGCTGTGGACTTATTCATAAAGTTTGGCTCAGAGTCTTTGTTCCATGTGGGTCAGAACGTGCGTGTACTCAGGGCTTTTGGTCCTTTTGTTTATCGGAGTAGGTGACTTATTGTCTGCTTGCATGTCCGTGGATTTGAGGGAAGGATAAGGTGTTAGTTGTGTTTAGCGTTTGTTGCTGTTTTTTCCGATTTTGCTGAGACTAGTTTGTTTGCTCATTGTTCATGCTGATAGCAGCAGGGCCTAGTGATACTGTGTTGCCCTGTGCATAACTGTGTGTGTCTGTGTGTGTGTGTGAACTGGTGAGGAGTTTTCCCTTGTAGGTCGTAGCGACGTTCTCCTTTGAGTTCGTTGAGCTGGGTGTGGGATAGTGTTGTGGCGAACGTGGCTGAAGCTTGGCTTGGGAGCATGTCCGTGGTTTTGGGAGGGTTGCTAGCCTGCTAGTCGCTCTCCTGATCCAGCGGTCTTTAGTGCATAAGTACCCACCATAAGAGGCCACATGAAGACTAGGGGGGAGCTTAGTTAGATGGATCGGTGGTTAGATAGCGGGGAAACTCCAAACCAGGTTGAGATTAAAGTTTAGTGCACACGGGTAAACACTATCTGTTGGGTCTGGTTCGGTGTAAGATTGTATTTGCTCAGCTATTCAGTTCGTAAACTTAAAATGGCGGAAATTGATGACTTCATCACTGCTCCATCTCAGGAGTCATTAGATTCGTTTACAAAGGAGCAGTTGCTCATAATTGCTGAGCATTTTTCAGTTGTGATTGTCGGGGACAAACGCCTTAAAGAAAATATTAAAGCAGCAATAAAAACAAAATTGGTTGAGGAGGGACTGATGCCTGGAGACAAGGAGGAGTCTCTGAGTCCTACTGCTTTACAGTTTCCAGCACCGGGGTTAACTTTCGAGCAGCAAAAGGAGATTTTGATTCTACAACAGGAACATGAGAAAATGACACAGGAATTGGAAATGAAAAAACAACTTGAATTAGCGAGAATCCACCAGGAGTCTGAGAGGGCAAAACTAGATCTGGAGAGGCAGCGCTTGACTTTGGTCAGAGATGGCA